TGGAGGAGAAATTCCCCAAAGGTCAATTGTTTCTATGTCCTCTCCTTTTAGTTCATAATTGCACTTGAGCCCTTGGGGAATCAGGAGAAAACCAAAGGTGTCAAGTCATTTCCCCATACTTCACATGCATAAAGAAGGAACTGGGTGTTGGCAACAGTAAGTGAGGCAGAAGGCAGAAATGTTAAGGGAGCCAGCAGGAGGTGAGGCCAAGGAGGTTGGGACTGAAGGGAGAGAGAGGTTAGGCTGTAATTCAGGGCGCTGAGCTCCCCACAAATGGATCCTTGAATTTCTGAGGCAACTTGTGACCTAGAGCAGAGAGCTGAAACTATGGTGTTTCGCAAAAAGCAAGTGAAAAAAATACTATTTTATGACTTAACTTTTCTCAGTCTTCTCGCAGATTTCAGGTTTTCTACCCCTTCTGCTCTCAGTAACTGACATGCTACCTTTGTGGCATCAGCCCCACCGCTTTTCTGAGGTCCAAGTTTGGCTGTTTCCTCATCCCCAGAGCTGTCCTCTCTCTGCCATTTTCCTGTACTGAATTCTAACATTATCTTTCCCTCATCCATGTTCCTATACCAAGGCAATGATCTCCTTTAAACACCAAACCAGAATTTCTGGTTTTTCAAAAGAGTCTATCCCTCCATATATGTATGTTAGTGTATTTCTAGGCAGCTAAAAAATAAATGTAAGCTCAGAGTAGAAGAGTACAATAGAGTGGAAAGAGAATGGTACCCAGAGTTAGAGAAAGGGGGTACTCCTAGCTCCACCTATCTGCCGAAGTAGCTGGGATTACGGGTGCCCGCCACCATGCCCAGATAATTGTTTTTGTATTGTTAGTTGAGATGGGATTTCATCATGTTGACCAGGCTGGTCTTGAACTCCTGACCTCAGGTGATCCCCTGCCTTGGCCTCCCAAAGTGCTGGGATCACAGGTATGAGCCATTGCGCCCAGCCAGTTACTAAACATTCTAACATGCATGGGACAATCTTGTAACTGTCCCACCTAAAATGCCAATACTGTGCTGATGAAGAAACATCAATAGATGATTTTTAATGCTCCTTCAACCTATTTGGGCTCTTAAACTTAAGCGAAATGTAGGGGATTTAAGGGACTCAGGAAAGAACTGTGAGGATAATTAAAATTTTGGATTATGTAAATTTATAGGAAAAGTTTTAAAAATGGGCTTATCTCTCCCAAAGAGAAAAAGGATGATTTAAGAACTGAGACTATGATGATACAGGGGAACTCTGACCAATAAATTTTCTTATTCCATGGAAGAAGAAATAAATTAACATGATATGAGGTCAAAAATTATACTGGCTTTCCTGAGAAAGATTCAAAATCAGAAATGAAAGAGGGGACATTACAACTGATATTACAGAAATAAAAAGGATTATGAGAGACTATAATGAACAATGATATGCCAACAAATTAAAAACCTAGATGAAATGAATACAGTTTTAGAAACATACAACCTACCAAGGCTAAATAAAGAAAAACATAGAAAGCCTAAACAGACCCATAACAGGTAAGCAGATTGAGTCAGTAGTTAGAAATCTTCCAACAAAGATAAGTCCCATATCAGATAGCTTCACAAGATAATTCTACCAAACATTTAAAAAAGAATTAATGCTTACCCTTTTCAAACTCTTCTAAAAAATTGAAAAGGATGAAACATTTCCTAACTCATTTTATGAGGCTAGCATACACCTGATACCAAAGTTAAATATGTCACAAGAAAACTACAAGCCAATATCTCTAATGAATATAAGTGTAAAAATTCTCAACAAAATACTAGCAATTTTTTTTTTGCTAGCAACAAATACTAGCAAACCAAATTCAAGAGCAGTATGTAGTATGCTGCATGCAGCAATATGGTGTTGAATTTGAAGCTCATACTTCCTGATGTCAAAACATGACAACAAACTCTCTATATGTTATATATAGAGTTTCAATCACAAAGATGAAAAAATTGTACAATATAAAAAGCTACAGTAGTCAGAATGGCATGGTACTGACATAAAGGCAGATACATGGACCAATGAAACAGGAGAGTCCAGAAATAAACCCATACATATAGGGTCAAATTAACTTCAACAAGGGTTCCAAGACTCCACAAAAGTATAAGAACAGTTTCTTTAATAAATTCTGCTGAGAAAACTATATAGCCACATGCCACAGAACAGAACTGGATCTTATTTTATACCATACACCAAAACAAACCCAAAATGAATTAAATAATTAAATATAATATCTGAAACTACACAACTACTAGATGAAAACTCAGGGGAAAAGCTCTATAACATTTGGTCTTGGCTGTGATTTCTTAGATATCACAAGAAAAGCACAGGTAACAAAACAAAAATAGACAAGTAGAATTATATCAAATCAAAAAGCTTTTATGCAACCAAGGAAGCAATCAATAGAATGAAAAGGCAACTTATGGAATGGAAAAATAATTTGCAAACCATATATCTGATAAGGGGTTAACATATTAAATATGTAATAAACTCCTACAACTCAACTGCAAAATATCCAAATAATACAATTTAAATATGGGCAAAGGACTTCAATAGACATTTATCCCAAGATGACATACCAATGGCCAACAGATATATGAAATGATACTCAGAATCACTAATTATCAATGCAAATCAAAACCACAATGAAACATCACCTCACACCTCTTAAGATGGTTATTATTTTAAAAAAACAGACAAGTGTTAGTAAAGATATAGAGAAACTGGAACCCTTGTACACTGAGGGTGAGAATGCAAAATGGTACTTCTGCTATACAGTATGAAGATTCCTCCACAAATTAAAAATAGAACTACCATATGATCCAGCAACTTCACTTCTGGGTACATATCAAAGAAATATGTGCACACTCAAGTTCACTGCTGCATTATTCACAATAGCTAAGATGTAGAAACAACCTAAATGCCTTGTGACAAATGAACGAGTAAACATGGTCTACATGTAGAACAGAAGATGATTAAGCCTAACAAGGAAATCCTATCATCGGTGACAACTTGGATAAGCTAAGGTCATTCTGCTAAGTGAAATATGCCAGTCACAGAAGGACAAATACTGTATGATTTCATTCATATGAAGTACCTAAAGCAGTCAAACTTATAGAGTAAGGTAAAATCGTAGTTGCCAGAGCTGAAGGGAGGAGAAACAGGGAGTTGCTTTACAACAGGTATAGAGTTTTAGTTACTCAAGATGAAAAAATTGTAAGGATTTGCTATACAACATGCACAGTTAACAACGCTAATGTATGCACTTAAAAATTTGTTAAAGGGTAGATTTCATGTCTTATGTGTATGTTTTCTTTAACCACAATAAATTAAATAAATAAATTTTAAAAACTAAGAAAAAAGGAACTTGGACCCCGGGTATGAAGGTTTGAAAACAAATAGGTTGGCCAGGTGCAGTGGCTCACGTCTGTACTCCCATCACTTTGGGAGGCCAGGGAGGCAGATCATGAGGTCAAGAGAATGAGACCATCCTGGCCAACATGATGAAACCTTGTCTCTACTAAAAATACAAAAATTAGCTGGGCATGGTGGTACATGCCTATAATCCCACAGCAGGAGAATCACTTGAACCAGGGAGTTGGAGGTTGCAGTACGCCAAGATCGCACCACTGCACTCCAACTTGGTAATAGAACAAGACTCTGTTTCAAAAACAAAAAAGAAAAAAGAAAACAAATAGACTTTTATTGGTTTCAGACAGTTCACGCAGAATCTTACTTGTATACCAGGGAGAAGCACTTAGATAACTTCTCACGTCCTTCCCTGCACTTCTGTTTCTATGGAAACAGTTATTAGGTTCCAACACACTGTGATATCCTACCAAATTGACAGGCTGGAGAGCTGAGGATGGAGGCACAACTTTCCATGTGCCCCATAGCCTAGTAAATACCCCCTGCCTCACTGTTCAATGGGGGTTAATCATGAGGCCCAAGAGCGAAGGGTGCAGTGGGAAAACTGGAGCCTAGCCCAGCACTACTGTAAAATCTACTTTGATTCTTAGTAGAAATAAAAGAAATAAAAAAAAGTAAAACCACAGTAAAGGGCTATTAAGGGAGAAAACATTTGTCACCGTGGACAGAATAAAAGTACCTCCAAATGAAATAAATGCCTATGGGAAAAGATATGTCATGCTAGAAAGTACTGTGTTCCTTCTCCTTTGCTCTTCATTTAGTTTTCATCCACTCAATGGACCAAGCCTTACCCTACATCCTGTTTCTTTTTCCAGCTTTGAAAGATGCATGGACTGAATTTATCCTTTGGTTAGGTCTTTGTCAGAAAGTACCTTCAAAATAAAAGTGTTTTACTTGGTACTATCTCAACTGCAAACATGTATTTCCAAAATGAAATGCCTGCTCTGCTAGCAAGCTTTTTCCTTGAGTAAGCAACAACGTTTTTAGTAATTTTTCAAACTGTTAATACACATACACACATCACACAAAACCCCAAACAAATCCTATTCTATCATTTATAAATCATAGGGTGAATATCCTCTGGTAGGACTAACTGAAACATTCTGGCCACTGAGTTTTACAATTTGAAAAATGATAATACTAGTTGATATTGACAAATGCGGTTTTGATTTTCAATGTTTCAAAATATAATTTACCCATAAGGTCTTAAATAATTGAAAGTACTTAACCAAATCTGATATAGGTAGACCCTTGGTATAAATTGTTTGAATCTATTCAGTTAGAATTTATAAACACAAAAATAAAATTTGTTGTAAGCCAATATGGGGTATATTTTATTTCTAATATCCTTGTTACATTCCACAGAGTATACACAATTAAGTATGACATTTATTTTCATTTATATCTAAATTTCAATGAGATTAAGAAATGAAAATCTGTTTAAAATCTACTCCCAGAGTTCTAACTGAAATAGAGTGAAAATATTTTCCATTAAAAATATCCTTCAAAATTAGTATCTTCAGTTAAAAAAAATGAAAAAATTAACAAACCTTAAAACTGCTAGCAGCTCAGAAGATAAGTGTATTCTTTGGGGACTTGATTGAAACGATGTGTTCATAAAAGTCTTTTAAATGGATGCTGTTCACAAAGAAAGTCCCATGGAAGACAGTGTGGTTCTGACATACCAGAGGCTTCTGTAAGCAAAGAAAAGCACATCATTAGGAAATGTCTAAAGTGCCATTACTGCCTGTAATGATATTATTATCACCTGTATGTATTATCAGTGTGATGTTATTAATTTCTATCAATTTTGTACCCCAAATCTTCTTATTCATAAATGGCAGGGTGGGACAGTAACCTTTCAATATTGCATTTAGAAGTTTCTAAAGGTCAGGAGTATTTATAACCAAGCAAACTTCTGCTTTTCCTCTTATCTAACTAGGCTGGGATTGAGTAACTGTGGGCAGGGTATGAACACAAGGGCAATGACAGTATTTACTGAGTGCCTACCAGATATAAGGCACTGTGCAAGTGGCTTTTAAATCTGAGATCTTTAATATGAATAGCCCTGCAATTGAAAAGTATTGGCTCCATTTTACAGATGAGAAAACTCAATGCATAGATTGCTGACCTCAGGCTTAGAACCTGCAACCATCAAAGTCTTAAAGCCTCAGGGCAAGTACTTTCCCTCATCTCACTCTGTGGACTTGGTGATTTAGACAAATATTTCACAAACTGAATTGACAAGAGACAGATAACAATGCAACATACTAAATTAATTCAAATTTTACTCATTAATTAAGAACTTGTGTTGCCTAATTTGCTTTAGTTTTATATTAAATATTGTCTTATTCAGTCAGGCCCACATAAATACAAATGCCCAGCTTTAAGCAGTATATTTTTTTCTCCCAACCTTTCTTCCTTATGCAAAGAGAGAATGTTGATGGAAACTGAGGAGCTCCCTTGTGTTTGGTGAGGACTGTGTGCGGGGCTACATCAAGGCTAGCGCTGCAAATTTCTCATCTTTCTCTGGCTCCTTCATGTGACCCACAGTTCTTCTACTGTCCCAATGAATGAGAACACTTAGTTTTGCTGATCAGGAACAGAGCTCACATCCTCTGTGGCTACCGCTGAGTGACATAACTGTATCTCTTTGTGGCTACATCCACCTTAATGGCTGAGGGTGACAGAGCCAGGGCTCTAGTTGGAATTCCATTCTCGTTTTTAGCCAACTCTATCTATACATTTGTTTCTGATGGTTCCAGTGCCAACACTGAGACCGCCCCCCCCCCACCAAATTACCCTCCACCAGCTCTCCCAGTACCCACTCTCACACTGTGTCCAGGGTCACTGCTGACCAAATAAATGCTTCTGCACATCCCTTGAAATGATAGCTTTGGATGCCATAGACTTTTGTCTGTCATGAAACTTCCAGCTCATGGCTACAACTGCATGACCAAAAGTCCCTCAGATAGACTAGAAAATGATGGAGTCAGGAAGGTCATGAATAACTTAAAAAATTTTTAGTTTATTGGATTTTTGGACACAGAAGCTTAAGTCATGAATAAAGAAACAAAAGGAAATGATTGATAGTATTTTCAAGTTCCAGAACCAAATCCTAGAATTATTACATGAAGAAAAAAGAAAAAACAGAGGAAAACAGAGAGAGTTTATCTTTGCATCAAAGAAGAAAGGAGAGCGTGACAAAGAATGGGGAAAAAATACTTGAACCAATGGATCTAAACTAAGTGAGAGGAATGTGAAATGAATAGCTACTCTTCTTACAACCTCATACACTAGCATTCTGTTTACTACATGCCATTCAAAAACAAATTTTCAGGCCAGGCACGGTGGCTCATGCCTGTAATCTCAACACTTTGGGAGGCCAGCAGGCAGATCAGTTGAGGCCAGAAGTTCAAGACCAGCCTGGCCAACGTGGTGAAACCTGTCTCTACAAAAAATACAAAAATTAGCCAGGTGTGGTGGTGCACACCTGTCAATCCCAGGTATTCAGCAGGCTGAGGCTTGAGAATCACTTGAACCTGGGAGGCATAGGTTGCAGTGAGCCAAGATTGCACCACTGCACTCCAGCCTGGCCTAGAGAGTGAGACTCTGTCTCAAAAAACAAAAAACAAAACAAAAAAATTTTTTTTCAGATTAAATGTCTACACTAGTAGGCCCTTTTTCTATAAAATCCTAATGGAAATTTTCAAACATTCATTCAGCCACTATTTATTAGATACTTAGGAGCCAAACAATAAGTTGGAAATTCCAGGAACACTGCAGTAATCAAGACAGTCTTTTAGTCAAAATCTTACTGTCTTGTAGAAAGATACAACTAGGATGTCAAAAACCATAACAAGGTGGTACCAGTAGGTGTTTGTAATAATGGGGTCTGAAACCAAACTGTCTGCGGGTGTTCCTGTTTCATTACTTCCTGGATGTATGACCTTGGGCAAGGTACTCAAACTCCTTAACTTAGCCTCCTTATCTGCAGGATATACTTCCCACAAAGGCTGTTTGAGGATTAAGTAAAATAAGCCATAGTAAGTGCTTTGTGCACTGAGTGGCATACAGTAAGAAGTCAACAAAAGTTAGGAAATGTTGGCTGAGCACAGTGGTTCATGCCTATAATTCCAGCACTTTGGGAGGCCAAAGCAGGCAGATCACTTGAGGTCGGGAGTTTGAGATCAGCCTAGCCAACATGGTGAAACCCCATGTCTACTAAATACAAAAATTAGCCGGAATGATGGCTCATGCCTGTAATCTTAGCACTTGGGAGGCTGAGACAGGCAGATCACTGAGGTCAGGGGTTCGACCAGCCTGGCCAACATGGTGAAACCCCATCTCTACTAATTACAAAAATTAGCCAGGTGTGGTGGTACATGCCCATAATCCCAGCTACGTGGGAGGCTGAGGCAGGGAGAATTGCTTGAACCCTACAGGTGGAGGTTGCAGTGAGCTGAGATCATGCCATTGTGCTCCAGCATGGGCAAAAAAGCAAGACTACATCTAAAAAAAAAAAAAAAAAAAAAAAAAAGGGTTAGGAAAGATTAGTACTATTGTATAACAGATCATGGGTGATATCAGTGATAGAAAATGTGCTCTGAAGCTTCAGTGGAGTTGGAGATCCTCTCTTTTGGGGATTAATGGAATCAAGAAGACCTCAGTGAGGAAGGCAGCATTTAAGATCAACTATAACTAAACAAACAGACATGATTAGGCATTTACAGAAATTCTTCTATTATAACTGAAAAGCCAGAATATTATACACTTTAGAAAAAAATAGGTTTTCCATAGCTTAGTTGACCAAAAAAAAAAAAAAAAGAAAGAAAAGAAAAGAAAAAAACAGCTTCATGAAATTAGACATTATTTTACAGGGTTTGGTGTGAAAGTAGATATTGAACCTAACAACACAGCCAGGTAATAGTACAAAGAAAATCAATGTATTGTTACCAAGAGAGGTACATGATCCCACAGGATCCTGTTCTATTCAACTGTAATCCAAAATGACACCATGGCTTTTAATGGAGCTTGGCAAGCTCTATACATGCCAATTTTAAACTTAGCCTCAAATTTAAATCACAGGGTTTGAGACTCAGATCTCCAGTGTGACCTTTCCTTGGCATTGTTCAAGAAAACATGTCTGTCACTCTGGACAGAAACCATATGCCCTTTTACTCTGGAAAGTATAATGAAAAAATGTACTGTACTTTTACAAGCACAGAGCCACAAAATGATGATGGCTATAATTCCCTAGGAGCAATAGAAACAAAGACTGTTTGATTTGCAATGTTCATTTAGAAATATTGTCTTATTGCACTAATAAGCATTTGTATTTCCCCCATACTCAGTATTTTAATTCAAAAGAAGCTTGTCAGGAATCTCATCATTTATGGATTTAACATATAGTTCCTCTGAATACATTCATTTTGCAAGGGCTCACTGAGAACACTACTTTGTCCTTGCCAGACCCATACAATATTGTACTGAATAGAGGGGCTAAAAGCCCACAGTGGCTTGAATTCCTCTACACCCTCCCTGTTTCCGAGCCCTAGAAGGACTAATTAAAGAGAGTGCTAGGGTTTGAATGTGTCAGGTGTTGCCAAAGTGATAGTATGAAGAGGTAGAGCCATTAAGACATGATTAGGCCATGAGAATTGCCTCCCTCATGAAAGTGATTAAGACCCTTATAAAAGAGGCTTCACACAGCATTCAGGTAGGTGGTCCTTCTGCCTTCCACCATGTGCAAACACAGCATTCCTCCCCTCCAGATAAACTATCTTGGAAGTGGAGAGCAGCCTGCACCACAGACAATTGAATCTTCTGGTGCCTTCATCTTGAACTTTCCAGCCTCTAGGACTGTGAGAAAATAAATTTCTATTCTTTAATAAATTACCTAATCAATGGTATTTGTTATAGAAATGACAAATAAAGACAGAAATTGGAACCTGAGGAAGGGAATAATGCTATAATAAATACCTAAAAATGTAGAAACAGCGTTGGAATTGGGTAATGGGTAGAAGCTGGAATGGTAATGGGTAAATGCTGGATAAAGCCTCTACCATCATGAACAGAACATTAAGGGCAACTCTGCTGCAGGCTAAGAAGAAGCAGGAGGCTCTAGAGAAAGTCTGACTTTCCTATAGATGCCTTAAGTGGTTGTGAACAGAATGTTGGTATAAATACGAACAATGAAGGTTATTCTGTTGAGATCTCAGACGGACATGAGGAACAAGGTAGTGAAACCTGAAGGAAGGGCCATCCTTTTTATAAATTGGCAAAGAATTATGCTGAATTCTGTCCTGTCCTAGGACTTTGTGGAATGCAGAACTTAAAAGCAATTAACTAGAATATTTGGTAGAGTAAATTCTGAATTTTCCATTATCCCAAATTGTGAGAATTTGGGAAATTTTTAGCTTGGCCATGTGGAGAATTTTAAAAAGTGCATTTAGAAGAGAAAACCAAGGGCATGACCAAGTGACTGTTTGGTTAGGAGATGAGTATGGATAGAAGGAAGCTAAGTGCTATTCATCAAGACAATGGACCAATGGCCCTAAACACATTTCGAAGATCTTTGAGGCTGCCGCTCCCATCACGGGCCCAGAGTGCTAGGGCTTTGAGGGCAGAATGGTTTTGAGGAAGGGGCCCAGGGTGCCCGGGGTATCTGGGGGCTCACTGCCCAGGGCAATCT